AAAAAAAAAAAAAAAACTTATTTATTCGAGATTATTTAACAGCGCGTTTATCAGCGCGTTCAGAGTTCTGTGAAAATTGGCCTCGCTTCAACAAGATCAATTATTGCTTCTGCGCTCGCAGCATTCGGTGACAAGGTGTAACGCTCTATTTGGTTTCGAAGTAAATTTTCCAGTTTGACTTCAGCGTTAAATATTGTCGAACGTCGTGCATATCGCTGTCTTTGTAAATCATTTGTTTAGAAGCGTTTTGTCAGTCCGTAACGAATTTTGGCAGACGGGTGTGTATTCCTTTGAACGCGGTGGTTTATGCGCGAAAATTTTCGCGCGTCTCACCCGTTTGATCTTTACGCAGGTTGTAAATTATTTATACACGGTTATTATAAATTACAAACAGTAATTATCTGCGACATCCTTGAAAGTAATCCGGCGGCATGCCTTTACAATCGAATTTGCAACTCTGTTGTTGCTTGCTGAATTATTAGCCGCGACGGAGGAACTTTATTTTCAACGCTAGAGCCACCGGCGATTAAAACTAATTCTAAATAAATAAAACTTCCATCAGAGATTAGTTAAAGTAAAAAAAATAATGCAACGAACTACGCAAACTTTTATTTGTACATTTTACTAAAAATCTCTAAGAACACACTGGTCCAACAAGAATATCCAACAAAAATTGACCATTTTGACCATTTTGGTAGTTCTATCGTAGCTGCATGTTGTTAATTTTGTTAATTTTATCGGAAGAAAAATTCCTCACAGACAAGGAGAGAGAGAGAGAGATGCAGACTAAAAATGTTGTTAATACTTATCAATTTTGTCTCGTTTTTTATGTAAACAAAATTGGGCGACAAAGGACGAAGATTCAAGCGACAAAGCAGCGAAAGATGGTATTGAGAGACCGTTGTTAAATATCCTCCTGTACGTTTTAATCCCTGCCTGACAGTATCTTTCGCGTTAACAGGATTTCCAATCCCTCGACTAATTCTTCCGACCCCACGTATCCATTCATACTTATCAACGTATTATTATTCGTTAATTTCACTTATTATTAACCCGATCTCGAATGTCATTCCGCGTCGAGGGATGGAAACTATAAGAGTATCATTCCGTTGGCTCGTCGTCGTTTCGCGACAATTAGCAAACAGGTAATACGATGACCCTCGGGCGTGTTCTTATCTATTTGACCGAAGAGAAGATCCCTGGTCTCTTGATCTAATAGTTGCGAATTCTTGCACTGCCGTCTCGAAACGCGGGCCACTCTGAATTTTCTCACGTACGTATATGTATGCCGGCGCTGGCCAACCCAAGTCGGGAAACGTCTGTGTTTATTCGAGGAGAGCTCCCCGGCTTTTTGCCATTGTATTTATACCGTCCAACCAAAACAGACGGACTGCATGTATCAGCGTTTAAAACACGGCAGTTTGAAAAACGGGGAAGGAAAGGAATCGGCGGATCTGGTCAATGTTACCGGAATCAATCGCGAATCAATCCGTTACAATGATCCAGATTCGACGAAAATGCAAATTCTCGAGCTCTCGTACTAACTGCAAGACAGCCGTCTTGAGAACTGCCTCTTACTTATCGTCTTCCTTCTTGATAAATAATATATAACAATGTGCAGGTTGAAAGAAGAAACATTTAGGATCGAGTTCGTGTTTCGAACGTTGCCGGGAAATCTCGATTTTCATTCCCCAGCTGGACGTTCGGGATCAGAAACAAATTCGACAACGATACTTCGACGACTGATTTGGACGGTTTCAAATTTCCCATCGCACATCGTGGAAAATGAATTGGTTGTAATAAAGGCAACGAGGCGGCGAGAGTGGTGCCCCGCGCGTATCACGCAATTGTCGTAGGTCGTCGAGAAATTATTTAAAAATACAACTACCAGCAGGGACCTATTTCTGGCAAATACCGGCTAGCCGATCGTTCCGAGTTCGAGGCTCGCCGCCGCCTCGGCTTAAGCCGACTCAGACTGCACACGCACGCGATCCGCACCGACACGTGTCTGCTCGGTGTCAATCGCCTATTAACGTTATCCTGTCTTCTCAATTTACCAGGGAGTTACGCGGATCGATTTGTCAGAACGATACCTGTCACGCGCAATTGATCGATTCGTTTCAGATGTTCTATTCCGAACGCTCGGTTGGAGTTTCTTCAGGCCTGTTTCACCCCTGCTTCGTCCATCTGTGATATCGATCGGAAGAACTTTCGTCGACAATCGTTTCCCAAGCGTCTCAAAGAATTTCAAGAAACTCTGTGATCAAAAGTATAAATGTTCAAGTAATTTCAACTTCACGTTTCACCGCGTGATGATTTATAGACTCTGAAAGCTGAACTTTCCAATTTTTGAACACTGAGACGCGCGCGATTGTCGGGGCAGGATCTTTGCAGGATTCTGGAAAACCGGGTAAATATTG